TGGAGCATTCAAACTATCAGCATTTAGCTCTTAACTGCGCCACCAGGGCTCCAGCTTCAACTTGACCGCTTTCCACAAAGGCCTCAATTGGTTTTGACAATGCCCACAGGCATGGCGCTTTCCAAGCTTGGGTTCAAATAAAGCCCGTTAACACAGACCAACTGCCTTCCCTGGGGCAGCAGCCCACAGCCTGGAGCTAAGGACAGGGCTTGCTTTCCCAGACAGTCGTAATTGCTCTGCCTCTGGACCTCTCTTTTCCACTTGCCCCTCTCTGTGGGGAACATCTGCCCAAGGAACAAGGGAGGGAAGAACCGTCAGGGTTCACTCTGTCACCCTAGAGTGGAGTTTCCACCCTAAGGGGGGCTGTGTGGGGTGAAACTGGTCACTGCTGCTGAGAATAGTTTCCACAGCACAGGACTTGGAGGGTAGGCACAGGGAGAGTGCTGGTCACCTGATCCCTCCCAGGGTGTAACTGTACCCCCACACCAACAGCTGGGAGGAGAGGAAGCCTGTCTCTTGACCACACCTGCCTCCAGGAGAAGACACCTGCTTTCCTGATGGAAACATTGCCCTCCACTTACTGAGGGCCCACTGTATCCCCAAGCCAGGCCACACACTTAACAGACAAGGACGCGTTCAGCCATAGGACAGTCTTGAAAGGGTAGGGTTTGGTACTTTATCTTGCAGCTCAGAGAGGTAAGGTCACTTGTCTAAGATCACACCAGATGTAAAAGACAGAGCCCGTATTTGAGCCTCCTTAATCTACCTCATTGGCCAAGAGTGAACACCCACCATCACCATCCTTCAAAAAGGCATGTCATCTCTTTTCTCCCAGTCAAAAATCCTACGGTTTATAAAATCAGACTCCACAGAGAAGCTGCATCTCCTGAGGTCATGAACTTCCCTTCTGCTATTCACCAGCAACATTAGCCAAGAATGAGGGCAAGTGGTTTAACATGTTGCTGCAAATGACGGCAATATATCGGAAAGAAAAAAAAATGTGTTTCTAAGCACAGTCGTCAATTAAAAGTGTGCAGCAACATGTTAATGAGGACCTGGCTGACCACTCTCCAAGGGAGCACTGCTGCTGCTCGGGGATAAGGAGGCAAACAGGTGGCTGCAAGTGGGAGGCAGACGAAGGGACAGAGGCTGGTTGGAGCACATAGCTGCCAAGGGCATCTGGTCAACAAACCCCTCCTGCTCTTACCTGCACCCACTCTGCTGGCTGCTGTCTTCCAGCCCAAAGCTCTAGAACAGGCCTTGTTTGCCCAGGGCGAGTGCTGTACAGATGCAGCACTTCCACCAAGTTTGGCAAAAAACTGGACAGCAATGTGCCAGGTCTTAGAGGCCTCTGGTATAAAATGTCTGTTACCATACTGTTCCCTGGCCCTGCTGCAGAGGAAGTAGACAGAAGGATGTGACTGCATCACGAAATCATTTGCTAGATGGTCTGAGAACTTCGGGACACTCCTTGTCCTGGGGACTGGCCTCCTCTGATCTTGGGTGGCTTGGGGAAGGCCCACACCTGAGTCTCCATATTCAGATCTGCACAAAGGGTCCAAGGGAATAGATGGCAGTTTCTAAGACCTGATATAAGACCAGAGGCGCTCTGGTGGCATGGTGTGTACCCTGCTGAGCTGCTAACTAAAAGCCTGGAGGTCTGAGTCCACAGGCTCTGAGGGAGAAAGATGGCAGTCTCCTCTCTGTAAGGCTGTGATTCACAAACTGGTAAACCTGCTGGTGGGCCCCTGTGAGACAGTATCAACTCCTTGGCAAGTGAAACAGAATGCCACTGCTAATTCTGAGGAATCTTGTCTGAAAACACATAATACCAGATGTTTACTTTTGCTTTGTCGTTGTGTGTGTATGATAGAATTAGGGCCAACCCATAGCTGACTCTCTGGCGGGTTTTCAAAGAGGCTCTGAGGCACTTAATCTCATGGGAGGAGATTGCCCATCTTTCTCCCACAGAGCAGCCGGTGGCTTCGAACTGTGTGCCTTTGGGATTGCAGCACAGCTTCTTGCCACTAGGCCACCAGAGCTCCCTTTTGCTTTACTGACTATGTAAAGGTATTTTTAGAACGCTTTATGTATAATATGATGATGAACTGGAATTCCAGAACACCTGCCTGTGTTCATGTGGAACCCGCCCATGAAGGTGAAGCAGTCGTTTGAATGGGACAAGGGGATTCTCAACTCACTGCTGTTGAATCAGTTTGGATTCACAACAACCCTCTATCAGTTTTCTAAGGCTGTAAATCTTCAACAGGAGGAAACTGCTCATCTCTCTTTCATGGAGCTGCTCGTGGATTTGAACTGCTAACCAAAAGATCTGCAGCCTATTATGCACAATAGCAACAGGGTTTGCTTCCTAAGGGGATAATACATGGTCTAAAATCAGTAATTTTAGGCTGTATTTTTTGGAGGAGGACTTGAAGCACTTGTTGCAGAAGATAAAAAAATACAGCCTTCCATATGGATTGCATCTCAATGTAAACAATAAAAAATTATTCTTGCCACTGGACCAATAGGCAACATCATGATGGCGGAAAGACCGAAACTATCAACAACTTCATCTTACTTGGATCCACCATCAACACCCTTAGTACCAGCAGTCAGGAAATCAGAAGATGTTCTGCACTGGGAAAATCTGCAGGTAGGAACCTCTCCAAATTATTAAGAAGTAATAATGTTAGTTTGAGGACTAAGGTGTGTCTGATCCAGGCCATGGTCTTTCCAGTCACTAGCTATGCATCTGAGAGCTGCACCATGAATAAGGATAACAGAAGAATTGATGCCTTCGAGCTGTGGTGTTGGAGTACTGAACATCGCATTGACTGCCCAAAGAACAAAGAAATATGTATCAGAGAGGATGCAGCCAGAGTGCTCTCTGAAGGTAAAGATAATAAAGCTTCACCTCACATACTTCTGGCATGTTGCTAGGAAGGGCTGTTCCTTGGAAAGGGACAGGATGCTTGGAAAGACAGAGGCTCAGCAAAGGAAAGGAAGACCCTTGACCAGGTAGATTGACATGGTCATTGCTGCAATGGCTTCAATGTGTCAGAAAGTGTGAGAATTGCACAGGATAGGACAGGGTTCAGATCTGTTTTTCATTAAGGTTGCCATGGGTTTTACTTGACTCGATGGCAACTAACAACAAAATCAGGAAAGGTGTGCATCTGAATTATATCCTTTCACTATACTTATCCAACCTGCATAATGAGCAAATAACCTGAGATGATGAGTGATAGAGAGCTGAACATTACAACTGAGGGATGGCTCATTAATCTGCAATATACAGATAATAAGACCTTACCTGCTAAAAGGGAAGAAGACTTGAAACACTTAACTGAGCAGGATCAAGACTACAGCCTTCCATATAGACTGCCCCTCAACATAAAGAAAACAAAAATCCTCACAGCTGGGCCTCTAGGCAACATCATGATTAAACAGAGAAAAGATTGACATTGTCAAGCATTTCCTTTTACTTGGATCCACAATCAAGGCCCATGGAAGCAGTAATTACGAGATCAAATAACATACTGCAATAAGTAAACAAGTTCCAAAGCACCTCTTTAAAATGCTAAAGAATAAGGGTGTTACTTGGAGGACTGCGATGCACCTGACCCAAGCCATAGTATTTTCAGACACTTTACACATATGTGAAAGAGAATGAATAAAGACAGCCCAAGAGTGCTGATACCTTTAAATCGTGGTATGGCAAATAATGTCGAGTATACCGTGGACTGCCAAAAGAACAAATCCGTCATGAGAGAAATGTGGCTAGGCTGTTTTCCAGGCTGCTTTCCTGGAGGCCAGGATAGTTAAGACTTTATCACATATACTTTGGGCAAATGATTGTTGTTATGTTCAATCAACTCAGTTACCTTCTGAACAACAGACCTGAGTCCTGCTCTATCCTGTGCCATTCTTATCATCTCTGGTATACTTGAGCCCAATGTTAATAGTCACTGTGTCAGGACTGACATGGGGATTGGGGGAAACTAAGAGAAGAGGGGCTAAATAATGTACACGGTACTGAAACAAATGAGGGAAAGAACTGTATAAAAGGAATATATGATTAGGTATTATTGGCATGACAAGAGTCCAGAACTTTTTTACCAAAGGAAAAAGTGAAGGGGGGCAGGCAGGGAGGAAAAATGTGCAGCAATGAATGAATGGAAATCCAAGTTAAAACTTTGATTAAAATCTCAATTAAAGAAAAAAGTCACTATGTCAATCCATCTTTTGAGGATCTTCCTCTCTTATACTGACCCTCTACCCCAAGCATGATCCTAACAGTATGTCTAAACTATGTGAGATGAAGCTTCACCAACCTTACCTCAAGGAGCACCCTGGGTACAACCCTCCCAAGACATATTTGTTTGTTCATATGGCTGTCCATGGGATATTTAGTATTCTTCTCCAATATCACAACTCAAAGGCATGGGTTCTTTGTCAGATTAGAGACAAAAGTGCATCTGACCAAAGCCATGGTCTTTTCATTTACTTACTGTGCATCTGAAAATTTGACAATAACCCTAAGGATGACAGGAGACTCAACAGACATATCTATTATTAGAGGATCAATCCCTGGAGAAAAACATTGTTTGGTAAAGGGTCAGTGAAAATCTACGACATCGATTGACACAGTGGCTACAACTCTGGGCTTATGCACTGGGCAGCATTAATTCTGCTGAACAGACTCCATGGCACCTAGTAACAAATATTCTCCATGTCTCTTTTTTGTATCTGGGAGGAGGAGGAAAAGTTACTTGAGAACTCAGGAGTGCACCCAAGAGCCGAGCATCCTGGGCTCAGACACAGTCAGAGGTCCTGGCCTCTGTGATGCTGGCTGCCTGCCTTGGCTCAACTAGGAAGAGGGCAGGGTCCCTTTAAGCCCAGTCTTGCTCACTCAGCTTGTTGCTATGTGTGAAGTAAACTTCCTTAGCAACCGCCTGCTCTTCAAAGGGGCGTCCCAATAGTGGTAGCTACCAGTCATGGCACCCAAAAAGAAGACAAGCAAGGCAGGGAAGGACCTTGAGATCAAGAAGAAGAAAGGGGGCAAAAAGGACACCAACGTAACCAGCACAGAAACGGCCCTTGACCCCGAGACCCGGGAATTCTACTACATCCAGATCCGAGAACTGGAGGACAGGCTGGCCCGGTGGGTCGGTGGGTGGATAGGCAGGGAAAGGGAGCTATCCCTGCAGCATCAGGCCCTGGTGGGGTTCAGGAGCCTCCTCAGAGGTGGCTACTGCAACCTCAGCCAGGGGTTGTAAGGCCTGTATAATGAGCTGGGCTGTCACCTCCATATGATGTGCAGGCCAATCCTAGCCCCAGACACAGCTCTCCATTGAGAGGATTTGAGATTCTGAGGGGGAAATGAATTCCTCATCCCACCTGGGCTCCCAGAGTCCCGAGATTGCCAACTATCCCCTCAAACACAGGCATGGCTCCTCCAACCTTCCTCTGCCTTGGTCCATGGGATCATGCAGTTTATGAAAAAGCAGAATTTAAATCAGTGGGATGAATTGACAAGAATGTGGACCAGTGTCCTTCTCTGCAGACCCTGGCCCTCAGTGCCCACACTGTGACTTCTTAGCCCACCTCCCTGGGCCACCTGCCCCACTGAGTCACAGAGCTGTGAACCCAATTTCTCCAGATGAGGACTGTGGCACTCTTTTCCATGACTTGTGACATCCTATGCTAGGACTATTTTTGTGTGTGACAGGGCTGGTAGTATTTAGGGAGCCATCTGTCTGACTCTTCATTCAGAAATAGTTCACTTGCCTGTCATGTTGCTTTCTTACTTTAAGCTTCTTCCTAGTGAAAGAAACCCTTGACATCAAACTGCTTTGGTGACAAACCCACAGCAGCCCTTGCCCACACGGCTGCACAGAAGCATTGCTAACATTGTTGCATCCCTCATGTATACCAGGTGGGCCCTGTGTGGGCAATCTATGCATCCTCATAGCAATCCTACCAGAGGCCTGGTGTCATCCTCATCACATAGGGAAAGGCAATGGCTCCAGGGAAATCACTCCATGAAGAAGGGGCTCCAGGATCAGAGTGCAGGCCTCCCTGACTCCCCCCGTCAGGGCTGCTTCCTAAATGTGCGGAGGCTCATGGCGCAGCATCAGGCCAGGCGTCTCCCACCCACACACTTCTGCACAAAATAGCCATGAGTTAATTATACATCTTGCAAATAACTTCTAGCAAGAATTCCACAGATTACCAGTAAATTGATTATACACTGAAAAAATTCATGAGCTCTCTTGAGAGACCAGATGAATATGTTGGGAGACAGGGAAATGCATTTGGTAGACAATTACTGTTTACTATTTGCCAAGCCCTCAGCTCCAAAAATATCTGCCAAGGGACAAATCAGATCCCAATAGGACAGGGCTATTTAAGAGAAAGAGATGGTAGGGCCACAAATGGGACAACTTCAGGGTTTAGCCATCCAGACACAAGTAAGAGGAGGTTGCCACAGAGGGAACTAAAGGTACAAAGCTTTGGAAATGGGATGTACCAGCATCAGGGAGTGGTGCAGAATGGGCCAACCATGGCAGTCAGCATTGTGACCCTAGGCTTTGGAAACAGACTGACTTGTGTCCAGATTCTTGTTTTGCCACTTATTAACTAGGTGTTCCCTTCACCTTTCTGAGCTTTATTTATCTGCCTCATCTAGAAAACAAGGCTTAAACATAGTATTCATTTCCTTATGAACTGTTATGAGAATTTTAAAAAAGACACTGAATATATGCCAGGTACCATCTGAGGTGTCAGGTACCCAGGTGAGCATGATGGCTCTGTCCTCGAAGCACTTACATCTAGTGATGTGATGAACAGGACGTGCTTAGCACAGCACCTGGCTCTCCGTGAGAGCTCCCCAAGGTGTTGGCTATTTCAGGGGCATGGTGGGAGAAGAGGCTGAGCTCAGATGGGGAGAATCCTTTAGGGCTGAGAGCTAAGAAAGTGAGCCCACCATACTGGAGACCCCTCAGCGCAGCTCCCAGGGCTTCTGCCTCACTCACCCCAGGAATCATGCCCTCATGGGCTCTGCACCCTGCCCACCCCAGGTACCAGCGTAAGTGGGATGAGTTGTCTGTTCAGAAGAAGTTTTTCCGCCAGGAGTTTGAGCAGCTGGCCAACAACAAGGAGGAGATTGTGGCCTTCCTGAAGCGCACACTTAACCAGCAAGTGGATGAGATCACTGAGCTCAATGAGCAGCTCCAGAGCCTGCAAATGGCCAGGGAGATGGAGAAGGATGCCTTCGAGGCCCAACTGGCCCAGGTGCGCCACGAGTTCCAGGAGACCAAGGACCAGCTCACCACAGAGAACATCATCCTTGGTGAGGGGGATCCTGGCGGGCCACCCATGGGTGGGCACTCACCACAGCACTAGGAATGGAGGGTCTGGCCTTGACCCCCACAGCCCCACCACTAACTTACCTTACTGGCGTTGAGCAAGTACTTCTCTCTAGCCCCTCAATCTGTTCAAATTTTTTTTCATGAGAAAAAGCAAAATTTTGTCTTCGCTTCAAGGGAGGATTCTTGAAGGAGAAAGAACCTGAATAAGGCTTTGTGAGATGAGTGGAGGGGCAGTGCAGGGAGCACAGGAGCTGGAGGAAGCAGAGAGGAAAGACAAAGGCCCAAGGCTCATTCATCACCAGGCCCTGTGTCCCACATTGGGCAGGAGGAAAGCTGGCAGCGCTGGAGGAGTTCCGGCTGCAGAAAGAAGAGCTCACAGATAAGCTCCTGTCCTTGGAGGGCCAGCTGCAGAAGCAAGAGGACAAGCACAAGGACTATGTGTACAACCTAGAGAAGAAGTCTGTGCTGGACAAGGACAGGTGGGCAGACCTGTGCCTGGTGGGACCTTTATCGCTGCAACCAAACTCATCCCAGACCTCATGCCCTGGGACGTGCCTCCCCTAGGCCTCTAAATGAGAATATCTGACTAGGTCAGTGGCTCCCCACCTTGCTAACTGCTCCCCAGAATTCTGAGGAATTGGGGGGAAATACCTTCACACTGGCCTATGAGAACCTCTGTCCTTTGTTTTGCCACTTCCTGTGATTTAAATACTATTTAGTAGATTAATACATTGATGTGGTTCAGAATTCAAAAGGGTCTACAGTGAAACAACTCCTGACCACAGCCACGCCCCCTCCCACCCAAGCGGCACCCTGGGGCTTACACAGGTGAGCGGGGCTGAGACCTGCACCGCCCCTGGCCAGTCCCCCCTCACTCCCGCCCATCCTGACCAGACTAAAGAAGGAGATTATCCAGCGTGTGAACCTGGTGGCCACCGAGTTCCGCAAGGTGGCCAACAACCAGATGTGGGAGACCACAAAGCGCGCCATCCAGGAGAACCGCATAGTGTCCCTGCAGATGGCCAAGCTCTCCCGGCAAGGTGTACAGCTGCTGCAGGAGAATGAAATGCTCCAGGGCATGCAGGGCCAGCTGTGCCAACAAGTGGAGCTGCTGGAGAACACCCAGAATGCCATGGCCTCAAGCAGCAGGATTCATCAGCAGGTGCGCCTCCCTGGCCCTTGTCGTGGGGTGTTGGGCACATAAAGCCAGAGGGAGCTCTAGAGGCCCTGCCCTCTCAGGAGAAGGGATTAAGCTGGCATCCGGCTAGAAAAATAAAGTAGGAAGGCAGCCCCTCCTGAGACAGCTACAGGATATGGGGCTCAACTCTGGTTTTTCTTCATTTGCTCAAAAGCCTCCAATAGCTTGAGAGAGTGGAGCCCAACTCCGGGAATCATGGGGTACTGCCAGCTCTGGTGCTGGGCTCAGCTGGCCTCTATGCTGTGGAGCAGGGGGTTCTTGTTGGGTCTAAAGCTGGGAAAGCAGGGCTGGCTGACGGTACCTGATGCTGCCACAGCTCATTCTCCTGCTGACTGAGAAGTGCCAACAACAGCAGCAAGACACAGTGGAGGTGAAGCAGCTTTACAAGGTGCTGAGCCACTTGAAACAGAACCTTCAACAACTGCGGAAGGACAATCAGGAACTGAGGTGAGACCAGGGGTAGAGAAACTTGGGGCTAATGCCTTGTTTGCCACATGCCCAGGCCAGTGACTTCCTCTCTTAAGAAGGGCTTCATCTGGCAAACACTGAATTCTGGGACTAGATGCTGGTCCCTGTGGACTGCACAGAAATGGTTGGGTCCAGGGAGGCAGGAAAGCTGCTGACTGTCCATCCTGGACCTAGAAGCCAGAAAGAACAGCTGAATCTACAACTGGAACAGGAGCAGGCCAAGGTGCAACAGCTGCTGCAGGATCTGACTGAAGAGCAAAAGATTCGGGCCAGCCTGAAGTTGACTCTGACCCGGGCTGCCTCTTTCCTACAGGGCATCCTGCAGGTGAGCAGAAAGTGGTGAAAATGGGAGGTTGGCCAGGGGCAGAAGCCGGTGAGAGACAGCTTGAGGGTCCTGTAGGTGGCTGGGTCAGCAGAGGCTCCCTCTTCCCCTGAGACCCTAAGCAACTCCATCCTCTTCTGTTTCTGGATGAGTCCATCCACATCTCAAAATAGCTGTACTCCTTCTCTGAGGGGACCAAAAGCTGTGGGTAAGTTTCACACCATAGCCAGGTAGCAATGGAATAAAAGAGGTACTGGGGTTGGAGTTTCCTGAAGTGGGTGCTGGGGCTACTGTGGGCCTGAACCCATGGACTTATCCCAGCCTGTCCTGGCAGATGCATTCAGAAGAACAGGAATACGGGGACTTTGATGTGGTCTTCCAGCTGCGGTGCAAAGAGATGATGCAGCAGCTGTTGGCCATGCTCAGCTCGACCATAGCACTGTGTCCCCAGACGGCTGTGTCCCCCCATCCAAAGACCCATCACCAAGGCCCAAACAAGGAGACGTAAGTAGGAGGCCCTGTACAGCCTTGGAGAAGGTAGTCATGGGAGGAGGGAGGGGAGTGGACAGAGCAAAGGGAAGAAGCTATGGGACACGTCCCAGGGCTGTCTCCAGCCAACTGTCAGTCAGAAGTCTGGTTCCCCAAAGACTCTTGAGTCTCAGCTTTCTTGTATGAAATGGAGGTGATGACACCAGACCCTACTCCACAGCCTAGCCAGTGACCAGCTGCCCAGGATAGAGCCTCAGCTACAGCAGGTGTTTGACATCACAGCCTACCAGCCAGGAGACCTGGGCCTGGTACCACGCCAGTCCAATATTCCACCCAACCCCCAGGACCTCAGGCTGCTCTCCCATGTCACTCGTACAGGAAAGCTCCGAATATACAGCAACCCTGAGGTGAGAGTACCAGGGGCTCTAAGGGCAGCAAAGTGGCAACCAGTCCTGTGTGAATCAGGGCTCTTGCCAGACCATAGCTGTGTGATCTTGGGGACGTGGTTAGACTGTTCTGAGCCTCAGTTTCCACATCTCTAAAATGGGCTAAAGAAAGGTGTTGAAAAAGCCTCAGTCAACTAAGGCATATTCACATATTCCCTGGAAGAGGGCCCAGTGGACCTTGTCCCCTCTCTACATGCAAAGGAAGGGTGGGAGCGCCCAAGAAGGCCTCAGCTTCCCAGCCTGTGTCTTTAATCTTACAGGTATATGGCTTTGGTTCTCCAAAAAGGCTCAAAAGGTTTAGTCTTCCTGAAGCTTTCCTGCATCTCAAATAGGATAGTGAGAGTACAGAAATCTTGGACCTCAGAAATGGATCATTCTGGCCAAAGTCCCTCCCCTTGATTCCAAAGGCTGCCAAGAGCAGCTGAGAGGAAAAGAGCTGTATAAAGCGTAGATACCAAAGGCTGGTGTGGCGGCTCTTTGGATGTGACGGAGCGTGAGGTACTGTGGTCAGGCTGGCAGCTATGTCCATGGATCAGGGGTCCAGCATGGGATGTCCATGGATCAGGGGTCCAGCATGGGCCGCCCCTGGCTGCGCTCACGGATGTGATCCAGGAGCAAGTCAGTGGCGCGCTCCAACAGTGGAGGCAGCAGCTCCTGCTCAGCCGGTGAGAAGCAGCCCAGCACATGTGCCTGCACCGCATCAGGGTGTGGTGGGCGCCCGATGCCCACCCTTAACCGCGGCATCGCCTGTGGGAGAGGCAGGAGGACCTTTGGTGAACTCAGAATGTTGGGAGTGCCCATGCTGACCCCCAAGCCAAAGCGCAGGATGGAGGGGGTTGGACAGACTCACACTGGAGTTGAGGCAGCTAATGCAGGAACGGACTCCATTGTGGCCCCTCGAACAGGCAGAGAAAGAACAGTTAGTGTCTCTCTAGGGTCAGCGCCCTTTCACCCCTTCCTGCTCCTATGCCTTACTGACTGGTAGTACAACTATCCCCCCTCCCCAATCCCAACTGGTAGGTGAAGGTCTCTACCCTACCCCCAGTTTAGAACCTCACCTGGCGCTGCCCCCTAGCTTCAGAACCAATTTCCCCAGGGGCTTGTCCAGTTCATCATGTACCAGGTAGACCTCTTCAGCAGTCAGCCCAAATAGCTCCGCTTGAAACAAGGAAATAAGGCGCCAGTTATTTCATGATCTGCCTATAGAATCCCTGTCCTCACTTTTAGCTCCCATAAGGGGAGATCTGAATAAATCCCATTTCTCATAATAAAACCCGGTTGTGTGCTATTGAGTCGGAACTGACTCATAGCTGACTCTATTGGGTTTTTAGTGGCTGTAACTTACACAGGAGACTGTCTGGTTTGGCAGCACAACTCCTTGCCCCTAGATCACCAGAGCTCCCCAAAAAGACACTGTGGCCCCTACAAATACCCTAGGCCATGTAGCACTTGGAAGTCTGTAGGGATGTCCGCATAATCCAGAGCCCATCAATCCCCTATGCCCTCACTCACCAGCTAGGGCCACGCTGCGCCCATTGGCGTTCATAAGCCGCCGTGGCCGGAGCAGGACCACCTGCGCATCACCAAGGGAAGCCAAAGCGAAGTCAGCAGCACAGCGCCGGTCGCGCGCCCAGCTCTCCGCCACGCCCAGTCGGCGCGCCAGCTGTCCTAGCACTGCCATGCCCACGCTGTGCCGCGTGCCGGGCATTCCAGGGTTCCCCAGGCCAGCCACCTGCAGGCAGCACCAGGGAAACTGAGGCCTGCCAACTCGACCCACCCCTCTCACAGCAACTGCTGGACTCCCAGCCTGGGAAAGGGAAACTAAGAGTAAAGGTTGGGGTGGAGAAGGTGCCTGGTGAGAGGTCCCAAACCACCTACAGTGACTCAAAAAGGCGACTTTGGAAATCGGTGCCCCAAAGGTTGGACAAGCAGAACGCGCTGATATAGGTGCAGCGTTTCTGAATAGTTTGGAGTCCGTCATGTTACTGAACCCACTTTCCAGACTTTTTTACGACAAGAAATTTTGGAAGCTTTGCAAAGAAGATAAAGGCAGAAACAGAGCCCCGAGAGCTCCCATGTCATGTCACCGTCCTTTACTCACTCACCAGCCACCGCTTCCCCGGGGGTCGAGGCTCCAAAACACACCAGCTCATGACCCTACGCACCCACAGCCCAAAGCCGAAGAGGCCGGGCCGCCACATGTTGCCCCGATTCAGGTCTGGACCCCGCCCTCTGACGTCATCCAAACAGCGGCCAATGGCTGTACTTACCTATAAGAAGGCGGCCGCCAGCACCCAATCGGAGGCCGGCTGCCCAACCGCCATGATTCTAAGGGGCGGAAGTGGCTGGGCGGTGGTCATGTTTAGGCACATTCCAGGGTTCGGTGTCACTGTGTCCCCGCGAGGTTGGGTGTGAGATTTGCGGGGCCCATGATTGACCTCCTCGTGGGAGGCAGGAGCCTTGCCCTGGTCCCTGTTATTTCTCTATCGCTCTGTGGAAATCAGGCAAAGTAATTTTCCGTTCTCTAAACTTCAGCCTCTCCATGTAATAAAAGTTGTCCTACCTTCCGCTTCAAACAGCGCTGGACTTTCCGGGGGCGTGGCCAAGTGGGCGGAGCCTGTGGGCATCCTGGCGATGGCACCTAGCAACGGTGAGGGCAGCGCGGCCACAGCGGTCTGGCCGGCGCTGACCCAGCTCCTAAATTTCTCCAGGAAGGGACATCATGCCCGACTGCAGTGAGGTGTGGGCTGGAAAGAGGTTAAAGCAAAGGCTAGGGTAGAAGAGATGAAGGCTAGGTTCAAAGGGGAAGGTTTTAAGTACGGGAGAAGCAGCATCAGTGTGCAATTCTGTCTCTGGCTGCTGCTGCGCAGTGAAATTGAGACATTAGAACATGAAACAAGGACAGGGACCCAAGCAGATGTCCCGGAGGAGTTGGCATTGATCCAGACAAGGGGATTAGAGGAGAGATCCGAGAGCTTTTAGAACGTGGAACGGACAGGACTCAGAGACTGAGGAGATACAGGTATCTGGTGATGCCTCCTCTGAAGTAGGAAAGCCTGGGGAAAGTGGGCAAGGAAGCCAGCGAAGGTGTCACAGAACATCTCTCTGAGGCCTGCAGGACCCTGTGGCTTGGGATGAGTTTCAGCAGCTGGAGGTGGGAGCTGAGAAGGACCAGGAGATGAGCCAAGGGTCAGTGTGAACAAGTGGGCCCTCAACCTGGCAATAAGAAAGGGAGAGAAGCAAGACGGGAGAGGCTTTCCTGGGCTTGAGAAGAGAGGTCGGACCACCTCTGAAGGAAATGTTGCCACTGCATCCCAGATGGAATTACCTATAGGATCTTAGTGTAGACTAAAGTCACCTAAAAAAATACTTGGGGAGAATGTGCGAGTGTGGTGGAGCCTGCTCATCCCTGAGGCTTGCTCCAGCCTTAGCATCTCTTAATTTCAGGATGCTCTGCAGCTTGACAAGAAATCTTTACAGCCTATCTTTAAGCCACAAGTGTTTTCAGCCTCAAAGGACAACGTGAGGCGCATCTTTGGCACCAGCCAGGTGTTCCAGGGTTTAGAGGAATCCAAACCAAAGTTCAAGAAGTTAACAGTGCCCCTCAAAGTCAAGGAGAAGTAAGTGACTGCTTTGCCCTAGGATTCATGTTTTTGATCCATCCAACAACTGATGCACCTCTCAGGGCCTCAATTAAATCACCTGGGTATTGGGGCTCTTCCACCTCAGCTAATGCAGAGATCCCGGCTTGCATGAGTTCTAAGAATACCAGCCTGTCCTCTCTTATTTTCTACCTATCCCTCTTATTTCTCCACCCAAACCTCCCATCCCTGTATGCCCTGAGCTCATCGAAAGTCAAGGTCAGCTCCTTTGTACTCTCCTTCCCTGACAGCTACCGCCAAGGCCTGACATTATTAGAGCAAGAGGACTGGGAGACGGCAGTGCTCTTCTTGTCCCGCGCCCTCCACTTGAATCCCAAGCTGGTGAGGGGCAGGGCTTATGGGGCATGGACACAGGTGCGGGCACACACTTCCCCCCACTACCGCAGGTGCCAGTGCTACCACTCCTTCTTGTTGTTGTTGTTAAGTGCCATCAAGTCGTAGACAACTGATAGCGACCCTATGAATGACAGTCCTGAACCCTGCTGTGTAACTATCATTGTTTCTCTAAGTTCATAGAGTTTCCAGAAACAATCTATTTTAGAAGTGGATGCCACTCCTGCTTCCAAGCTTGTTTTCATCTGGTTGCTCCAATCTCTTACATTAACTGAGTATCGAGGGAGCTAGATTCCTCCTCAATACATACCCCGGGGGACAGGTTATGAGGAGAGGACAGCAACCTCAGTCTTCTCCACCCTCAGGTTGAATTCTATGTTTTACGGGCCGAGGCCTACATCCACCTCTGTGACTTCTCCTCAGCTGCTCAGAACTTGAGAAGGGCCTGTTCCTTCGAGCCAGAGAACACCAAGTACCTGGAGCGGCTCACCTTGGTGCTTTACCTGCAGGTGCCTGGTGCTTTCCCAGCCCCGTTCAAGGCTTCCACTTCACATTTGGGCCTCATGGCACTGCCTTCAGCTGGGTGGGGGGGAGGAAGGGGGTGGTTTCCTTGTGTCTGGGACCAGCACTGTCTCCTTGGAGACTTCCTCACACCCATGTGCGTTTCTCACCAACTGAGCCCCCTTCACCACCTCTCCCATCTCCTCAGTTGTTCTACAGCAGGGCTGGGTCAAATCTTGAACTGTTGACCAGAGGAACTTTCTATGATGATAGAAATTATTTGCTCTTCGTGATCTGATATGGTAGCCACTGTTGTTGCTGTGTGCCACCAAGGCCACCAAGCCTATTCCTGTTCAGAATGGCCCTAGAGGATGGGTAGAATTAACCCCTAGGGTTTCATAGGCAGTCTTTACAGGGGCAGATGTTGTTGTTGTTATGTGCTGTCGAGTCACCTGCGACCCATAGAAACCCTATGTACAACAGCTCTGAAACCTGCCCTGCCCTGAACCAGTCTCACTTATTCGAACACACCTACCCCCATTGCTCCAGTTACCATGTCAATCCATCTCATCTGAAGTCTTCCTCTCCTGTTCTGTCCCTCCACCTTTCCAAGCATAATGTGTTTCTTTATGGACTGGTCACTCCTGGCCACGTCCTCAAAGTATGCGAGAAAAGCTTCAAAATCCTTGCCTCCAAGGAAAATTTGCTTTTTACTCTCTCCAAAACAGACCTATATGTATTCTTGGTGGTCTATGGTTTGTTCAATACTCTTCTCCATGAAGAGTATGATGATTCATGATTCAAAGGCACCAATTCTTCTGTCATCATTAGTCATTGTCCAGCATTGTGAAGACCATGGCCTGGATCAGATGTACCTTAGTTTCTAGACTGACATCATTGCTCCTCAATACTCTGGAGAGGTCCCTGAAAACAGATTTTCCCAGTGCAATTCATCTTGATTTCCTGACTGCTGGTGCAAAGAATGTTGATTATGGAGCTGAGCAAGCTGAAATTGTTAGTAACCTCAATCTCTTCTCTATCCTGATGCTGCCAGTTGGCCCATTGGTGAGAATCTTTGTCTTCTTCATGTTGAGCTTCAGTCCTTGACTTTCTGCAGCAAGCGCTTCAGGTCTTCTTCAGTTTCAGGAAGCAAGATTGTGTCATCTGCATAATGCAGGTGTTGATGAGTCTTTCCCTAATCCTGATGCCACATTCCTCCTCTTTAAGCCCAGTCTCCAGTCCTGCATATAGATTGAAAAGGTATGGAGATAGGACCCTGAGACACTCCTTTCCTGATTTTGAACCATGCAGTGTTTCCTTAGGACTGCTTGTTCCGAGTATAGGTTTCACATGAGCACAATCAAGTGTCTGGGATTCCCATTCTCCTCATGGTTAGCCACAGTTTGTTGTGATCCATACAGTCAAATGTCTTTGCATAGTTCATGAAACACAGATAGACATTCCTTTGGTACTCTTGCTTTTCTTTCTGCCAAGATCCATCTGACATCGGTGATAATGTCTCTAGTGTCACTACCTCTTCTAAATCTAGCTTATATTTCTGGTAATTCTCTGTCAATGCACTCTTCCAGTCGTTTTTGAATCATCTTCAGCAGGATTTTGCTTGTGTGTGATATTAGTGATATTGTTGTATAATTTCTACACTCTGTCAGGTCATCTTTTTTTTTTAATAAATATGGATCAATTCCAGTCAGTTAGTCAGTTGTCCTCCAGATTTCTTGGCACAACCTTGTGACACATCCAGAGCTGCATCTGCTTGTTAAAATATGTCAAATGGTATTCCAGCAATTCCTGGGGTCTTGTTTCTTGCCAATTCCTTCAGAACAACCTAAACTTCCTCTTTCATCACCATTGCCACTTGATCATACATGGTTTCATGAAATAATTCTGTGTCAGCCAAGTCTTTTATAGTCTGGTATAGTGACTCTGTATACTCTGATCATTCACTATTTTGCCCATAGCATCCTTAAGTATTGCAACTCGAGGCTTAGGCTGCCGCCCGCCGGGGGGGAACGCACGCCGCCGCCCGCC